AAAAAAAAAAACTAGCTTCATTTTAAGGATTTAGCTGAATCAACTTGTTTACCAGTTTTCTTCCCTTTTTTCCTGATATTCGACTTGGTCTCAAAAGATTTGTTCTTTATTATTTGAAGTGTTTTTATTGACAGTTATTTTTCAGATTCCAATGGCTGAACCTTGACGCAGGTGCTCGTCTTTCTATCCGCAACAATTGTTTTTCTCATGCCGCTGACGAAAAAATAAAGTATCCTGAGTTAAAAAATGCATTTTCTCGTTGTGTTGTTTCAATGGCTGAGCATGAATGGCCTCAGAATTGGCCAGAGTTTTTCGATCAACTTGAGAAGGTATTTAAATTTATTTCCTTCCTCTACCATTTTTGTGAATTGGGAAGATCTCACCAATAGTTGCAATGGTCCGATTTATTTAATACAACAGATTGTATGATTTGTGACATTGTAGCTTGGAGGGAGATCTGACTTTCTGTATCTTATTCCCAAAGGTTACTTAGTTTTTATAGAACAACGTATTTTTAGTTGTCCTCACTTTCGCTGAATCACGCTGAATTACCATTCACAATTTTGCAAAGGTTGGTGGAAAATGTCGTAACAATTTGTACGGTTCAGAACCTGCAGAGGCGTAGGGATCTTAATGCTGCCATCGTTAGTGAAGTTCCTCGTATTTTTTCGCTTATTTCATGTATGCTTGAAGCTGGTGAAAGCTATAATGGTAAGTTTTTTCAGTTAACGCAAAAAATTTGTAACATGATAAAACATCTTTATTGGGCTCTTTTTCGCTGTTTTTTTCAGTTTTATTGCTTCTCCAAGTTTTTCCTTGCGATTCTTTTTTTTTTTCAGAGAAGCACGCTCCACTGATCTGTTCTGCTCTGTCGTTATTGGGTGAAATTGTGGAGTGGATTCCACCAAAAGTTCTTGATGTGCATTTAGAAAAAATTTTGCGAGTTGTTTGCCCTTTCTTGAATGGGAATCAGTTTTCGGTTTGTGAACTGGTGAGAAGACAACAGTTGTTTTATAATTGCATTTAGATTGACATTATTTTGCAAAAAATTTTCAGGCAGCAAATTGTCTCTTACGAATAGCATCTAGGCGGCATGCTAAAAATAACGAAAATTTGGTAGTTATGGCTTTGTTTGGTGATGTTCCGATGCAGTCGATTTTAGCGTCTGCCAGGTACTTCTAAACGAAAGTTTTATGAACCTTTTACTATGCAGCTAACTGTTATTTCTGTAGTGCGGCAGCTAGTGTTGGTGCAGATGACGTCATGCATTATCGGTACTTGAAAACATTGTGCGATGTGTTGTCAGCTCTTGGGATTCATTTATCCGATGTATGGAAGCGATCGCCTCCTAATTTTGAAATATATTTGAGGGCCAATGAAGCATTCATTACACATCCTTCTGTTGTGAGTGAAAAATTCATTTTTATAGATATAATGTTTCAGTGGAGTGTTCACTGAAACTTTAAGAAGTGTTTGTAATTTTTAGTACTTGCGGAGTGAAGCTGCTACAGTGTACGCATCTTTTGTTGCTCACTCTGAGATTGTTGAAGATGAAATATTCAGTAATTCACTTTCTCGAATCATTCCAAAGATACCGAGGTTGCTAGAAAAAGTAGGATTACCATCAGCTGGGGACTCAGAAGCTAGTCGTTATTCTCAAATTGACTTTGACGACGACACGGATTTTTTTCATTGTTTTATAAGTAATGGTTACGGCATATTATACATTTAGAGTTTTATATCTAGTGTTCTCAAAATCTTATATCTTGAAGAATAAATTTGCAGTTTTTGATTTTGCCAGTGTACAAGTTGAGTTCGTTCGTTCTGCTTTTAGAATATCGTGATCGTCTCCTCCGAGTAGTTCGCGGTGCTTGTGATGACAGACATATTAGTTCTTTACTTTCTATTATCGAAGATTGGATAAAAAATCAGTGTATTGCTAGTCCACATACAAGTATACTTTCAAACTTGAATTTTCAAGTATTGATTAATATTTTTTTTGCAATTTTATCAAAAGTAAGAATATTCTTTTTTATTACGTATTTATCCTTTGCTTACTTTTTTTAATAGTTTACTTTATAGTATCTGAAAACGAATGGGCTGCTATGTTACGGTTTATGCGAGTAGTACTGACTGAATGCCATACTGAGAGCATTTTTGATGAGGTTTTTTTTGCATATCGTTTTTTCCTTTTCCTGTTTATCTTGTTTGTTTTAATTTGTTTTCTTCTACTGGAAATAATTTATTTTCATTTATTTTCTCTTAAAACTATTTTTTTTATTTCTTCTTACGTAAGGAAGGTTTTTTTAGGCTCAGTATAGGGTTTTTACGGGTTTGTTTGACGGTGTGCTTATGGTTTTATCTTCAGTTACAGCGCCAGCTTCTTTAGTAAATAATCTCTTGTCAGTACTTTCTGCCATGTTCTTGATTCTGGAATCATGTCCAGATCGTATAACCCCTATTTTACTCTTGGTTTGTTTTCTCACTAGTTATTATCGTCACTTATTTAATTCAGCAATAGATATTTTTTTTCACAAGTGTTATTATATAGAGGCATACTTCTTTTATATTTTTTCTTTTGTTTCTAGCTTCGTCGTTTCTTGCTGGAAGAGGTGGAAGAACTATCTGAAGAGAAGTCGGTAAAAAGGCATTGTATATCAGTTCTGTTAAAGCTTGTAACTTGTTATGCGGATGCAGTAAGGTAGATTTTCGTCTGTTATTTTACAAATGTTTTCACTTTTACGTGTTTTGGAATGGAACCGATTAACAGTTTGTTACTGTAATGTGCTTTTCCCAATTTTGCGCGTAGACCGTTTCTAGTTTTAACAGTCATTGTAATGGAAATTTTCTTATTTTAGGAATTACGCTGAAACGTTATTGGAAGTTTGTATGGAGGCACGTTCGTGTCTTTCACCTATGCAGCAAGCCTCTTGTGCTCAAGTCTTCGCCGCACTTGGAAATCTCTGTGGCGATTATTTGATGCAGTGTAACTTTATATCATGTGCAATGCAGGAAACGGTCTCATATTTTACTACACCTGAAGTTTTAAGGTGATTAAAGGAATTCTATCTTTCTTCATCAATTTTTTAGTACACTTAAGTGCCTTGGTTTTTCTCATGTGATTTGGGGCCTGTTTGCTTTATCGCGAACATTTCGGCAATAACTCTGAATAGTAAGTAGTTGTAAGTAGTTTTTAGTGCCACCGAAGGAGATTCTGGTTTCCTTTCCTTCATAGGACTTTCTTCGCCAGCGCCAATTTCCACTGAAGAAGCTCTAAGATCTTCATTTATATACAACAGAGTTATTGTAAGTAATTTCTTGTGGTTGACTTTGCTGCAACATACCTTCTCCTAGATTTAGATGAGGGTTTCTTCTGTTTGCTATTTTTTGCAGTTACGGGCAAACTTAGCTACAATTGAGGGTATGCTCACTCAGGTTCGGTCAATTAATCCTCCAGCTCATCCTGCGTTACCTGCGTTGCGACCAGTTCTTCCGACTCTTTTTTCTTTTGCCGAGTTGGTTTTCTGGTAGAATGGGTAAAAAAAATTTTGCATTTTTTGAGGATGCGCAACTTTAAAATTATTATTTTTGTAGACGGGTGAATTCGCTATACGATAGTCACTGTCTTTCTTTAATCCATCCTTCGTATGGACCAACAGTGGTCGACATAACTGCAGCAGATAGGCAACAGCTTCTGTCAGGTGTCCTTATTATCAATATTTGTAGATTTGAACATAAAGTCTTATTTTTTTTATTACTGCAAGTTTTTTACAGACTTAATTGTAATATCAAATGCATGACCACATTTTGAGACTTCATTTTTTTAGCATTTGATCCTTTGACGTCAGTTTCGGTATCGAGAAATCAAACGGATGATGCAAGAAGCCATGCCAGATTGTTCATCTCAGGTGTTACTGACTGTGTGTAAGTTATGAGCGCTAATTATTTTCCTTATTCCCGATACTTTGTCACATGCTATCTTAAAAATGACTCCCTGTCTGTTCAAAAAAAGATTCTATGTTCTTACTGTCTGGGAATGTGTCGTTATATTCAAGTAGAAGCGGATTTTCATTTTTTGTCATGGCATTATATTTTTTTGTAAGAAAAATTGCATTTCAGTTTTCATTGTGCAGATTGAAGAAGTCTTTTTTAGGCAGTCAATAACAGGTTTGTTAGCTAGCATGATGCCAGCTGAATTGTTTTTGGAACCATGTGTCAGTGCATGGTGCATGCAATTGGTTTCTCATGTTTCCTCTGTTCCTGATTTTCGATTACGTTTTTGGATCCGTCGGTCATGGTGAGAACTTTTTTCTAAGCTATAAATTTCAATTGAAATTTACGCTTTTTTTGTTCATTTAATAGTTTCTGTAGTCTTCTGCTTTGTAGGTATATACTTGTTAAATTTAAAATTTAGGCGGCCTTTCTTGACTTCTTGTTCTCAGAGGTTTTACCACACAGTTAGAGAACTGCTTCATGTTGTCTGTAGTGAATTACAGTCGCGATTGATAGCACGTTGGGATGCTCTGGCTCAAATTGGAAACGGTATGTTTCAGATCTTAGCATTTACCTAAAAGTGTTCTGAAACAGGTGAAAAATTAGTAGTTTTTTGATTTTTAATCTAGGAACTAGCAATATTGTTTTATCATCAAACTTTTTCCCTTTCTGTGTTTTATTTTAACACTTACTGCCTTTCAGCTGACGACCAGGAACCAACGACGGAAGAATTATTTGAAGAACATATGGCTTGTGTCCTGACGCGGGAAACTGTTGGTTTATTACGTGCTCTGTTGGGCGTACAAGACAATGGAGGTTGTTGAATATTAAACTTGGACAACCGTTTGTCTAATTAGTTATGGGCTTATTACTGAACTTTTCAACAAGTTTCTATACAGCTTTTTTTTAGAAGAGAAGAACGAAGAACCCACGTGTTTTATAACTCAACAGATTATTGAGGACAAGGTATTTTTCATGCTCTATGTTGCCAATTCCGTAAGAAAGAGATTGGTGACGAAAATTCTTTTGATCTTGTTTAAACATTTCAGATTATTTTCGATGGCATAGTGTCTTTGACTTTCCACTGTCTTACTTTCAACGATGCGCCATCCACTCTTAGAGCTATTCCAATTTGTCGGGACATTGTTGAGATGGTAGCTTTAGTATTAAATTTGATTAGATGTTGCTCACAAGTCTTACAGAAAGCCATTCTTGAATTTTTGAAGGTGAGTGGCCGATGTGACGAGAATATGGCAATGTTTATGCTAGTTCGAAGTATTCAGAGTCTCCAGATTCATGGATCGGATGAAGTTGCGCTTGGCCCTTTGCTTCTCTTAGTTTTCCATGTGTATTATTCTCTAGTAAGTAACATAAGTT